ATCTTTATCAAGTCCACTTTTTACGCTTATACTACACACATTTACCTTATACCTTTCTACTTCTTTCATACTCTAGTTTTGTATGTGTACTTAGACTACAAAATTCAACCAAGAGTTGCAGAAAAGTGTTATTGAAGCTCTACGTCTCAATCTAGATTGTCGACCTTGCCATTTTCTACAAAATCTTCATATAAGCTGTTATGTAGCTACCAGCTTAACTCACAGTTGTGAGAAAAGGTGACGATGAAGTTTACGTAGAAATAAAAGACTTGGTGGTAAGATAAAATTAACTCCCTCATATTGAAATGGCTGAGTAAATGTAATTAATTTAAAGGCTCTTCAATAGAGAAAAAAGACTGCCAAAAAATAAAGCTTTGTATAAAAAAAATAAATTCAAGTTCACTGCAGTGAAATTAAAATGAAAAAGTACTTTTTTTAATTTTGAATAAAATTAGTTTTATCCTTCATAAAAAAAAAAGAGTTTGCAGATTATTTTATCATCCAGCTGTAGTGTATAAATGAAAAAAAATTTTCTCTGTAACTGAAGTTAATAAATTAATTATCGGTTTTGTTTAGTTGTTGGAGAGTTTGTTGAATAAAAATAGTTAAAACTATTTAAAATAAAGATGCATTTAATTTAATACAATTGAAAATAGGCTGAATACTCTTGAATTAGATATAAATTGGATTGAAAAAAAAGACCTTCAGCCATTTCCGAGCTACTAGACGACCTCTCGAATTTCATGTGTGTTCCAGACAAGAGTAATAAACTCGGTCAAGTTTAACTATTCAAGGACAATGTTATTAGTTGCGCCTACTAATATATTAATTAGAATAAACTATATCATCTTCATGATGAAACTTTCAAAGAGCAATGAAACATTAACCGTGCATGAAGAGATTTCTATCAAACTCCTTGAAGAATAACATTATTATAAGTTTTTATTATCAATGCTGGTTCACAAAAAAATAATTCCGTTGCCATAACAGATTATGAATACGAATTCGGACTCGATTATCAACACTATATAAACTGCTCATCATTTAATATGACTCATTAATATGTAAATTAATTTTCACAACCATAAAAATAGCGAATACTAATTTTCTTACTAACTGATTAAAATAATATCATCTTAAATCAATAATCCATGAATACAACATTATAATAACATGGAAGATTATTTAAAGAAAAAATTGATAAAATGTGAGAAGAGTGATTTGAAACAAAAAAGGAGTTATTTCATCACAGTTTATTGAAGTTTCATTGGAAAAAGAAATTAGCAAACCTAAGATGGTGAGAAAAATAGATAGGATTCAGCGAAAAGATGCTAAAGAAAAAATCGATTGTTCTTTTATTGCAGTGTCGACAGCATATATTTGACGAGAGTTGATTGTTCGGAAAATTTTATGGTCGATTTGTCTCAGTAGCTGCAGAGATAGAAAATGAACAAAAAAGAAAAGAAATTTGAGCAACTAAGGGGGGATGAAACTGCATACGGTTGTAGCATACGTTCATTTATCGATTGAGTGTATTTTAAGTGAAAAATTTTAATTGATATACTCTAGGGAGTATGGCTAAATTCTACGGTTATCCATATTACCGATTTAGTGAGGGAGCTTTAAAAATTTATTGACCTGAACGTTGCAAACAAATTTGTGTCTCTTTTCATTCGATAAATATGACATAGATTGAAACAAAAGTAATAAAGTGACTTTTTTTCTACTTTTAGAAAATAATTTTTTTTTCTTTTAACCTTTGATCTTTATTTGCACATTAAATATAATTATCGAGATAACTTTATCTGTTAGTTTAATGTCTTTCGATACCGTTAGTCGTTCGAGTCAGTAATACTTAATCGATTTTAGCTATACCTAAAACTAGAATGTTGCTTCACTATAAACTTTCAAGAATTCAATCTTGACTTACCAGATTAAGTGAAAAAAATTTAATTCAATGGCCTACGACACATATTCCGTTCGGAATTTAATATCTAAATTTTAGATTGAGGTATTTCATCGCAGGTGGCTGTTAAAACATGCAGATAGACACGTTTTAAATTTGCATTTGCAAAAAATATAGATTACAAAAGGAAGTTTGTCAAAATGATATAATCCAATTAACGGTAATTTACAACCATACGAATAAATGCTAATGCATTCTACGACATATATCACAAACTTTAAAATTGCTAAATTAAAATTTTATGTTTTATCTTAATACTTTCTTATACTCACTAAATATACTGACACAGTTATAACTTCTCTGAATTATATTATAACTTTAATATTATCTAAAATTACGTAATTATGCTTTTATACAATTTTATATTTGCATCGATCTCGATGGATTATTTTTTATATTCATTTATTTTGATGAATTCCAAATGGTCAGACGTTCTAATGATGACCTATTATGTTTATCAAAAGATTCAAATAGAATTCAAGGACTTTGAGTATATTAGGATGTCTAGTTGGTTCATGGTCATATTACGCAATAACTGCCAGTAATTTTCACTTTGAATTATTTTTAGTTGGTTTGTGTAGCTATAATTCATCAATTGAATCTGGATAACTGAGATATTTAATTACTTCTGTTATTACCCGCAATTTTTTCGTAATTGCTGCAGTCAATATTTATGGATGCATTAATCAATTAATAACAAAAATGGCGACCAAAAATAATATTGCCATTAAGAATAATGAATAATTGTTATCACTCGTTGGTAATATTTGGAAAGTCTATTTTATAATTAAAGCATATGTTTTCAACTAAAATTCATTATTAAAATATATATTTAATCAAATAGATAACGTAAAAAATTTCAAAAAAAAACTTTCGCAATTGTGTTCCACGACTTCCAACTGTTCACACAAAATTGAGCGTTATAAATGAGACTTCATAAACTAAAGTCAATTATTCTCTTTCACTTAAAGTTTTTCAGTTAATTACAACGCCACTTGACAAAATTTCATTCTAAACTGACTACTGTAGATTTAAGTCACTCCTTAATTATTTATTTTATCCTGTTAAAATGATATTAATTAAATAATGAAACTGTTTGAATCTATTAATCTTCTAGCAAATTATTTTTTTCTGAATAGTAATAAATTTTTATTACTTAATAAGTTTTTTAATGTTCATTTGTAATTCTAATTATTGATTTCTCAATGTCTCACAGTCATTGTTTTAGCAATTTTTGCCAATGAATGCCAAAATATTACATCATTTCGTAGCCGACAGTATTAGAAATCACAAACCAAGGCCTTGAAGTATTTCTATAGAACTAACAATGTATGTGTATATGTTACATAATCTCAAAATCACAAAGATGCGTTTGACCGTCTGTCACCCCTAACGGTAAAGATCTGAAGGTCGACTTTTAAAATGATTTTACGTAATTATTTAGCTACTCTATGTTAGAACCGGAAGACTTCTTTATACCCAACCTCTTCTGAGTATAGCAAAAGAAAAAAAAAACGTTTCAACCTTTCTCGCAATTTTTTACATGATGACTGAAAGACAAATGTCTGAGAAAAAATTCTAAATGTTCTAGAATTTGTTATATAGACATTTGAGTTTATCATGATAGACAAAATACATTACCTGTCAGTATATCTTGAATAAATAAATGTGACGATAGAGATGTCATGTACCTAAACGATGACAGTAAGTATTATGTGACAGACACGTTCACTATGAAGGTGCATGTGCTCATCTATAACATCTTTCTCAACTTCCGACCCCGGTCTGTCAATGTCGATATTTCTAGCTTCTTATGTGTTACTTGTATGAGCATGGATATCAAAAAATACGACACTGATCGATTTTCCAATTCACCATTCTAGCATTAATTTCAGTGCAAACAAACTAGATTGCGTTGTAAAAAAAATTTGTTGAGCCATAACTTTCCTAAATATATTTGACATGTGTACAAATAGAGTCCAATGAATGTTGAAGATGAGACTAGACTGTTGACTATTATGTCAACACAGAGCAGTGGCGATTTGTACATGCAAATAGATGGTTCCAGTCTCAAACGTTTTTGATGTGTGTGATGATGGCCTTGGAATGTCACTAACCTATGTTACCGGGTAGACGCGTCTAGTGCTACTATCGCTTATTTGAGATGCTTATATTTTAATTGTGAGTGTGTTGTGTGAGCTCACGCTCTTTGCTATGGCTATACTAATGTTATTCCAAACACAGTGGAGCCAGACTTCCGTCTGGCCTAACCTTGAACTAGCACAAATGCGTCTAGACAGCCGCTCCTTTGTCGATGTATATACGTCTGTGGGTTTCAACGAGTAGAGCTTTGGATTTCATTTTTATTTTATTTTATTATCTCTATTATTTTCATTTTTTATTACTTTTATTATTTTAAACCAAGTAAAGCTTCGTGATAGGAAGTCGCGGCTGCAGAATCTTTTTTTTTTTTCAACCCACCAAATAATTTCCGTGCTGAAGTTCGCTGAAGAAACTAAGCAGGAAGTGAAGAGCATGGCCCTAGATTACCTTAGAAATTATGAGCAGAGGTAGAGAGTCGACAGAAGAAAATGAAACCACGATGAACTCTTTTGTGGTAAGTTCTAACAAGCTGACAAGGAACGCAAAAAGAATAATTTTCAATGAACCAAACATTCAGCTTTGATGTGGTGCATATAATAGAGTTGTGCTTTTAATTACGAACGAATAATAGTTTATTTGAAAATCTTTGTTGCTTTTTGATAGACCTATATGCATTTCTACTGGAAAATGAAGAAATTTGTCAAACAAAATTGGCAAAACTGTACCTGGTAAATAATAATAGAATTCAGACAAAGAGAAGCAAATTTAAAATGTTTTATTGAGTAACGGGAATACATTGTGGTGTTGTACACCAGATAGATACTTGTTTCATGAATACAATATTATACAAAATTCTTAGGAATAGAAACAGGTTGAAAAATAAACAGCAAACAGTAAAAAAAATTTCAAAACAATTTGTAAACTTCTCATTTTCTTAAGTACATCATCATACACCAAGTTTCGTTATTAAATCATACTTACCGTAAGCTTATTAAAGTAAGTACATTATCATTTTTTTGCGAACACTTTGGGTTTGTAGAAAATATCAGATTTATAAGTAAAAAAAAAAATGGGGATCTTTTTTATAAAAATAAATGAAAAATAATTATTAGACGAGAATACGATCTTGATATAAAGTTGATTCGTGGTTGAGTTCTCCTCTCAAGGGTCAAGTGTAATCTGTCTATCTAGTGCTCGGACTTCCCCCATCTGTCACGACCTTATCCTTTTTTTGATGTCTCAACACATTATCCTGGAAGTGCTTTGTCGTTTGCCACATTCAAGTCTCCAAGCTAAAGTAATCCTAAAACAATAATTTATTATAATATTAATATTAATTGAGTAACATAAAATATTGCAAATTTAATCATAGATTTAATTAAGCTTAAAAAAGCAATCCTAAAATAACAACAACATGAGAAGAATGAATACGTTTTGATCAAACTGAATTTATTGAAGCAAAGTTGTTGAAACAAATGCTCCAAAAAATTAAATAAATATTTTCGGTTTTAAAATAGAACATAATAGAACACAATTCACATGAACATCAAATAGTTGGCTTATTTAGAGTTGGAGAGTCTGCCATCATGCTTACATTCAAACCTAGAACATGTTTTATTGCCCTTTTAGGGATCTCAACTTTTCTGAAGTTTGGATTTTGTCCCAAGACAACAAGCTCATCTCATTCACGAAACTCTCTTGGTTTCATAGTAAATAATAGTAAAACACTACTAAATTTAACTTAAATATGCTTAGAAAATGTAGAAAACATATTGATATCAAAAGCATGGATTAGAAGTTGATGATCAATATGAATTAATTTGGTGGAATGAAATATTATTATTAGTTAACATTCTCTTACACGATTGTTGTCAATGCTCTGTTGATTTCGCAAGTGTCCTTGTGCTAAGAAGTTTCACAACCGACCATGAATCTAATGCCTCCTCACATCGACCGGTTTTTTTGTTTTACGTTTCGAATTTCATGTCCTTGGTAAATTTTGTATCCACATTAATGTCAAAGGTTTTGGAGAAAAGACAACATATATTATTTCATCCTCTCGATGCTAAAATATTTGGCATTTATGTGAATTTTCTATCATTAAAATAAAACATTTTATTGCGTAAACAGAATGTTTAACCCCAACTTTATGAGTTTAATAAAAGTAAACTCCAATCTTATGTATCAGCTATTACATCATTTGAAGTGATATTTGTTGTTTTGTATCTAGGATAAATATTCTTGAAAAAATTTATGATCGCTTAGGGAGATTAATAGATGCAAGTATTAATAACAATACGGTAATAGCCTCAACTATATTATATCCGATTATAACTCTTTGGCATTGATAAGCTCTAGGTAATCCAATAGATAAGAGTTCTCAACTACCAGCATTCTTGCATAAAAAAATTTCTATGAGATTAATATAAATTATTTTAGTTATCTATTTTATTCAATAAAAAAATATGCTGCTTATTAAACAGAAGAATTAACTGATGGATAATTTATTACTATTTTTTTAAGTATTTAATTTGATAAATAATAATATTTCATTGACTCACATTCAGAAGTTTTGATTCTAAACAGATAATAATAAATGAAAAAAAAAAAATTCGTTTTATTTTAAAATTAGTTTCGCAGTGAGAATACTTTTTTTGGTATGCATAGAGTTATTACTTTGTTTTTTCATCGTTCAATGACATTACTGCTGCGTCAATGAACAGGTCTATGACCGACGTTGAGTGCAATGTATTAGATCCAAGGTTAAATTAGAGAGAATGACTGATATCGACCTGTCTGACTGCTCCCAGCTAATGCTATTTTTTGCACGTATATACATACTGACTATATCCATCTATTCACGCAATCTATAGTCAACATCAAAGTTCATTCCACTGCGGTTTTAATATTCCTGCATATCAGTAGTCAAAAAAAAAACATGATTTTCATCATGATGCGTAATAAAAAAATATATATATATTTTTTTCTATTCCGTCCTTTTATTTTTAGTTTTTTATTGAGCTGACGAATATCGTAATGGAAATTTAATCATGGATTTTCGGCAGCAACTATAGTGTGCACATTAAGGAACAAATTTATCGCAGCAAATGGGTAGAAAACGTGTTAAGAGCCTTAGGCAAGGAGCTGAACGTATGATATCTTAAGAAGGAGCACCGGATTCGGCAGCAAAGGTGAAAGGCCCGGAATATAGGACACACTGGCAAAACTCGTCTACGTGGGATCTTCATGGCATCCACACGTTTAAGTAGTGGGAACAAACAGTCCAGGCCGGAGGCGGAGAGAAACAGGAATGAGTTTTAGCGATCCTTTTACGGGATATGCCGACCTGCGATCACGTTGAAGGCACTTTTTTTAGCTCACCAGATATCTCCACGTCGACATCAAGGACCAGTGACAAATATTTTATACTGGATGAGTTTTCAAATGCGTCTGATGAACATTGGCGTCTTTTACTTTTGTAGGAGTATTGTCCACATTCACAAGAATTACTATGGAATTTATATTACTCCCAAAAATAAGCTACATAGCAGTCATTTTTATAATTTCATTACGTCGTCTGATGAATAATATTCCATCAAGAAGATTTATTCCCTAAATAGGAAAAAATCACGAATCGTCAAATGAACTTGAAATTCCGAAAAAAAATTCTTTCGTTCTAAGAAATATTTAAATTCAATTGGTTGGAAGCATTGAAAATCACTTAGTTCTAAAATTCCCCCTTGGGAAAAACCTTTTCATGTGAGCTTGCTTTATTTAATTTGAATTTTTCACCAGTTTTCAAAGTAATAACTGTGGTTTAGACTCTTCAAAAAATGTACTTTTAATCTATGTAAAATAGCTGTTATTCATCAATTCTACATCATGTTTGTTAAAAAATAACAACATTAAATTAATGAATGATTTATAAAAGTTTACATAGTTTTTAAATACTTCTGGATGAAAATTTTAATAACCGACGTTTATTATTCTGTACTGATTCTGGATTACAGTGGAATATGTTATGAAGTTCAATGCACTCATCACATAATATTCATTCAATAACATTTTACCAATTGATATTATTTTGAAATAAACATAAAAATATTTAGCTTTTATTCTATCAAAATCAGATGTAGTAATTATATAGATATCTTATGGGATAAATAATTGTGTTTTTGATAGTCGTCTGTGTAACAAGTAACTGAATAATAGTACAATCATCAATGTCTGGGAAATCTTATCATTCATTATAATAGAGTAGCAAGTTATAATGATCTCATTCATTGCTCAAGTCTACTTGCCTCCAGGTAACTAGTGTAGGTCATCAAATAGAGCCTTTGTTTCATCTCCAGGAAACGATGGCTGTATTCATTTTCAAAATTGTATAGTCCTCATCATCAACATTTTACTTACTATTCAGTCATAACATTCGCACACACTTGGTAATGTTTTACCCACATGGATCCACTACTATATAGAGTGCTATAGAAATACGAGTACATATAAGTCTACTTGATTCTTCATGAGGTATACGATCACGATGGGACTGGCAAAGTCTGTTGAAGTTGTCACCAGATGGAATTGCAAATTCGTGTCGGAGGCTGGCTTGTAGATGAATTGTCACCCGGTCTGTTGTCGTGGGAAAACTTTTCTCCAAGAGAGCTAAAGGAGTAACAATGAAAGTATAAAGTAGTGGGAGTGAGTAGTAGGAGGATCGCCTGGTGGTAGAGAAAGCACTTGAGAATTAGCACAAGTGTGCTTTAGGACCAACCACAAAATTCAACTATAGATGTAGTAATACCTCTGAACTTTCCCAACAAATCATTAGCTCACTCAATTTCACCTTTTTCCAAGTGGTCGATGGTCAGAAAATGGAACAGACTTCGACTAGTATTATTGCTCCAACTTTTAGAACTCTCAAGTTTTAGAATAAATTTTATCCATAAAATAATTCAACGTTGATTAAATAGCACAAAACTATTTTGATATGATGTTTGTATTACTTAATGCACTTTAATTGTAGCTATCTCAGTTCAAATTTTGAATTAACTCCATAACTTTAAATTTATTTAATAAAATTAATGGAACTCCTCAAAAAGTTGGCTATTATTGATTGTATGCCAACTGGTAAAATATTCCTAGTCCATCAATAAATCATTTGCATGTCAACAAAGATGTTAACAATCATGTAGTGCATCTGTCATATATTAATATTCTGGTTATTTTAAACATTGACAAAAATGATGAATGCAGTTAGTGAAGATATTTATTATCTAAAGTGTTTTTTTATAAATGACCATCAGTAGCTCTATTATGATGTTGTTGATTCCAGCATTCTGGGTGATTATAATATTTTTGCAAGACGCTAGTCAATTGACTAGAATTTCAGACAGGCTAACGAAGGACTTGTTGCCGTGGAGGCGGTATCTCACACTGGTATGGCAAGCTAGGTAGAGAGGAAGCAGAGATTCGTAAAAGCAAGATCAACGCCCCTTGGGTCAGGGTCACTAGCCTTTGCCATCAGCTTCTTACACATAACTATAGGCTGTTATTAATAGAAAAAATATTTTTTCTGGTATTCTTGATTCATCAAAGCATTTATAAGAACAACGTTCAATGCTTTTTTTATTGTTTTACTGACAATAAAATGTTCCATGAATTTAGCTAAAATTTTATGATGAATAACATGTGATCAACAGCCGGAAATTTTATTGCCAAATATTCGCAGAAGCATTTTTTTCATTTTGCAAGTTTTCTGTTTGGAAAATATTCGAAAGAATGTTGAAAATTTACTACATAAATCTTTTAGCAAAAAAAAAAAGCAAACCAAAAAATAAACAAAAGGAACGAAGTATTTAAAAAAAATAATTTTAAAACATGAATAGAGAAATAAAAGATAATCGCAAAGAATAAAACCGTTATTATGATTTACCATTATTTTTACCTTTGCATCGAAACTCTCAAAGCACTAAAAGATATTACGGTAATCCCAGACTCATCATTGCGCTGTTAAAGAACATTCAGATCGTGCACAATACTAATGAGCGTCGTGTGGCTTTCAAAAAGCTGACGGGAACAGTATAACCGCTAGTCGGTCACGTTTAAAGACGATAGGCTTCTCTTTCTACCTTTCTATTTTGTTTTTTTCTTCTTTTGTAGTCAGGTAGACAAACCGTAGTAAGTCTATGCCATTCTAATTCGCTCGTGACTCGCGTGACAAGTTCCTAGACTAGAGTGGAATAAATTCTAATACTATTTTCAACTCGTAACCTTGGCCGTCTCGTCTGACCACCGTCTAGACTA